GTTTGCTCTAATTTCTAGCACGCTTATCCGATTTACTTGAAACTTCGACCCACGCTCCTAAATTCTTTTTGTCTTCGTCTTGAGATGTGCAAATAGATGTCACCATGCAATTAATAAATATGCTCGAAAATGGTTCGCGTGGCTCGGAGATGGTTCGGACGGCTAGGAAATGTCTTGGAAATGGCTCGTCTTCCTACACATGAACAATTTGGACCTAGTCAACACCAAAAAGACAAGAAAAGTACGCCGAACCCCAAAAACACAAAACGAGAGCAAAAATGCACGAAACACGATAAAATAGAACGGTCGACACTAAAACGAACCCGAAAATACTAAACTAAAGCACATAAAACACACGAAAATAAGCACAAAAATACAATAAACAGCTAGCCTCGCTCTCAAGTCAACCGAACGAGGCTGGTTGCTCGAAAAATGGCTCAGGTTGCACTCAGCCTGGTGGTTGTTGGAATGCGCTGGCCCTCGGGTCTCCTCGGCAGGTGTTTGTGTTATGCGCGTGCACGGGCGTTGGTGAATGCTCTTGGATGGTTGTGGAACTTTTCGGCTGAGGGACTTTTGCTGGGGAAAAACGGATGTTTTGGGGGAGATTTGGAGTGTCAAATGAGGGTGGTGGTTAGAGCTAATGGGGCTTAAATAGGGTGGTGGTTAGAGCTAAAATTTGAAATGGAGGGAAAGGGGAAGTGGAGCCTATTTTCATGGAGGTGGTTTCTAGGGCTTCTTGTACTTGGCCTCGTGGCTGGCGGCTGGGAGTAACTGAGGGCCAAGAGGGGGTTTTATTGGTGCTGGTCACCTCCTTGTCTCAAGGGATTGGTTAGGTAGTTACTTGGACTTGGTCTAGGTGCATTGAGCTAAAATTAAAATTCACTAAGTGCGGTTATATCATAGGTGGTCGGGTCTTAGGGTCGTGCTTGGCTAGGTACTTGAACAAAAAATTTAAATTCTTGAATTCTTGCCTTACGAAATAGAAATGGCCGAGCCTTTACACTTCGCATACTTAGAAATTCTTTGCACGAAAATGGTCGAGAACACTTAGGATTAGAAGAGTGCTTGGCCGAGTCTTAGCTTAGGTTTTTCTTGGGTACTTAGTATTCTTAGGACTTCGTTAAGCATGGAAAAATAATTTTGATAACACAAGAACAACAAATTAGAAGAATTAAAAAGATGATAACATTCATTTAATCTTTATTTTTTATTAGACAAAATAAATAGACAAGGACATCTATTAAATTTTAATTTTTGGATTAAAAGGATTTGAATCATAAACCAAGATTACACAAAGTCGAGCTATAAATAAAATGCAAGAATGTTATGATTTTATTAAATAAATAGGGCGTTACACCTGCTGAGTTCAGGAGTTTGGAGTTGCTAAATCTAGGTCGGGCTTCATTCTGCTTCTTGGATTATTTCCGGTTGTCTCTTTCTCTGAGGAGATTAGACTATTGTAGTTGATATTGAGGATGACTTTATTGTATTGAATAGGTGTGAG